TTAAACAATACATTTTCCTTTCATCACTCATTTTTGATACCCTCCTGAAACAGGAAACGGGGAATATTTTCTTGTCCCTTGCACTTAGTCCTTCGTGCTTGTGTTTAGACGTGTTCTGTGAGTACTTTGAGTGGTGTTCATGTGGAACCCTAACTGGTGTTCTTTGGGCTCTGGGTGCTGCCTCTTCTTACCCCAGACTTACCGCAGCCCTGCCCACCACTCATCGCCTGCCACACTCACTGCTCTCCCAGGCCAGGCTGGCATCAGTGACGCCTGCAGGGTCTTTGCTGCTGGTGGGACCCAGCTTCCCGCGGTTTCTTTTTGCTTCCTTTTCTTTGAGAACGGGTCTTGTCTTCATGGTGTTTAACCACCATCCCCTCTGTTCAGATCACCTACATTTCTTGCTTCCTTGGATCTCTGGTCAAGGGTTACTTCAGAGACTGGCTGCCATTTGCGATTGGTGGCCCAGGAAGTTGTAGCTGACAGGTGTAGCTGTTTGTTTTTCTTGTGTGGCTTTGTGGTTTTTTTTGAGACAGAGTGCGCCGCGTCTCTCGCCCAGCTGGGTGAGGGGGCGATGCCACGCACTGCAAGGCGGCGCCGCGCGAGGTCACGCTATGTCGTGCGGCGGCGAGCGCTCGCAGAGGTAGCTGCGACTACGGAGCCGGCCACTGTGCTGCCGGCTATTTTTGTGTGATTGTCGGTAGAGGACGGGGTGTGTCACGAGTGTGAAGCAGGAGGTCTCGAGTTCGCGCGAGCTCGAGTCCGCCTTGTCCGTCGGGGCGGGGACCTCTCAAAGTGCTGGGATTACAGGCAGAGCCACTTGCTGCTTCTTTTTCTTTCGTTTTTTTTGTTTTATTTATTGAGACAGAGTCTCTGGCTCTGGTTGCTCAGGGCTGGAGTGCAGTGGGCGGAATCTTGGCCTCACTGCAACCTCGCCTCCCCGATTCAAGCAATTTTTCTTGCCTCAGCCTCCTGAGTAGCTGGGATACTAAAGGTGTGCCCACACCACCCGCGGCTCAATTTTTGTTATTTTTGTAAGTAGAGACGGTTCCGGTTGGTTCAGGCTGGTCTCAGAACTGCGCGTCCTGAATGCGTGACTCCACCGCCTCGGTCCTCCCAAAGTGCTGGATTACAGGCGTGGAGCACACGCGCGCAGCAAGGAAGTTTGTAGTCTTTCTTTTCTCCGCCGTATCTTGCCTGTGCGCCTGTGTACCTGGAGGTGGTGGCGAGACCCGTTGCGCCGTTAGGAAGAGAGGGTAGGAGCCCCCGCG